TTGAGCTCCAAGCTCCATGCGATCCGGTTGAGCTCCAAGTTTCGTAGGTTCCAAGCTTTCGTCCATGCTCCCGCTCCAAGCTATCATTAGCTCCATGCGTTCTTTTATCTCCAAGATATAGTTTGATGCATCGCTCGGGATTCCGAGATCCTCATCAAACGCTTCGATGTTTGGGGAATAGATTTCATGGGACATTTCCGTCATCTTGTGGCAATCTATACATTCTCGTGGCGGTTGATTATGTGACGAAATGGGTGGAGGTACTTGCTAGCTCGAAAAATGATTCAAGCACCATGTCACCAATGTTCAAAAGGATTATATTTCCCCGGTTTGGAAGTTACGCGCTACCGCTCGATGCGAACACCTAAACGAGCGGTCTCCCATAAAATGAGTGGCTCGCTCGTTTTTTTTCTATATTCCGGCGCCCGATGAAGATTTTTCCCAATCCTTGCTCCCTCAACAAAAGGACTTAGTTTGATGAGATAGTATTGGAGAATTTAGAGCCTTTCTAACGTAAACAAAAGAGAAAATGACGAGGTTCGAAGAATTTACATCCTAGGGTTAACCGGGACTGCTAGTTAAGGTCGTAGCTAGACCGAGATGGCATTCAATCAATCAAAGAAAGGGAGAGTACAGAAGTACTTCCTCCCGACTTAGTATTCTCTGGATTGTACGGTTTGATCCTTTGGGTGTTGACCATGAACGAACCGCCCTTTCCGTTGTCAAGTTCCACCGCTCCATGAGGGGTAACGCTCTTTATGATGAACGGTCCCGACCATCTCGATTTCAGTTTACCTGGAAAGAACTTTAGTCGAGAGTTAAATAAAAGAACGAGGTCACCTTGTTGGAAGTTTCGGTTGAGGATGTGGCAATCATGCCACTTTTTAGCTCGCTCCTTGTAAATCTGTGCGTTCTCATAGGTGTCCAAGCGAATTTCCTCTAAGTGGTGGAGATCCAGCATTCGTTTCTCCGCCGCGGTCTTCCAGTCATAGTTCAACGCCTTTATAGTCCAATATGCTTTGTACTCCAACTCAACCGGTAGATGGCAGGCTTTCCCATACACGAGTTGGAACGGAGTCATCCCGATAGGCGTCTTAAATGTTGTCCTATATGCCCAAACCGCATCGTCAAGTTTCAAAGCCCAATCTTTTCTTGACTTGGCCATTGTTTTCTCCAGAATTTGTTTGATCTCCCGGTTAGATACTTCCACTTGACTACTCGTTTGGGGATGGTATGGGGTGGCTACTCTATGGTGAACATCATATTTAGTCAATATGACTCTATTAACAAAGTGTGTCCCTCCATCACTTATCACCACTCTTGGGACTCCAAATCGAGGAAATATAACCCTTTTGAACATCTGTGACACAGTGCTTGAATCATTCTTCGGACTAGCAAGTACCTCCACCCATTTCGTCACATAGTCAACTGCCACAAGAATGTATAGGTTACCGCAAGATGATGGAAATGGTCCCATAAAATCTATTCCCCATACGTCAAATGGTTCCACTTCCAATATAAAGTTCAGCGGCGCTTCATTTCTCTGCGAGATGTTGCCCGTTCTTTGACAAGCGTCGCATGAACTTTCATAGGTGGCCAATAGAAACCCGATTGTAGGATCTTTGCAGCTGTCTTGACCGAGGTGAAATGCCCTGCGTAGTCCGATGCGTGGCAATGATGTATCACTTGCTTCACTTACTCCTCTGGAATGCATCTTCGAAATAACCGTCCTTGCCTCTCTTAAACAAGAAAGGTTCATCCCAAAAGTAGTCTCTAACATCGTGAAAGAACTTTTTCTTCCCGTTGTAGCTTAACTCCGGGGGTACAACCTTGGCAACTAAATAGTTGACGTAATCCGCATACCAAGGGGTCATGTTCTTGATTTCCAAGCATAAGATGTGTACAACTTCGGGTATCTCCAATCTCGATAGATGATCCACCAATGTATTCTCAGCTCCTTTCCTATCGCGGATTTCTAGATCAAACTCTTGCAGAAGCAACACCCATCGGATCAAACTTGGTTTAGCATCCTTCTTCGTCAGCAAGTACCTCAAGGCGGCGTGATCCGTGTAGACGATGACTTTAGAACCCACCAAGTATGATCTAAATTTCTCGAAAGCAAATACTACAGCGAGGAACTCTTTCTCCGTGGTGGAGTAATTCATTTGAGCATCATCGAGCGTCCGACTTGCATAGTATATGGCGTAATGCTTTCCATCCTTCTTTTGTCCCAATACGGCTCCGGCCGCAAAATCACTAGCATCTTACATCAACTCAAAAGAAATACTCCAATCTGGGGGTTGGATAATCGGGGGTGATAGCGCCTTCTTCAAAACATCAAACGCTTTGTGGCATTTCTCATTAAACTCAAATGGGATATCCTTGCCCAAACGTGCAGTCAAAGGTCTCGCTATCTTCGAGAAGTCTTTGATAAATCTCCTATAAAACCCGGCGTGACCCAAGAAGCTTCGAATCCCTTTAACATTGGTCGGTGGCGGTAGCTTCTCAATCACTTCCACTTTCGCTCTATCCACTTCTATTCCCTTGTCTGAAATTCGATGACCAAGTACAATGTCCTCTCGCACCATGAAGTGGCATTTCTCCCAATTCAAAAACCAAATTCGCCTTTAGACACCTGTCTAACACTCGATGGAGATTGGTTAAACACGCATCAAATGAGGGTCCATGGACATAAAAATCGTCCATGAACACCTCTATAATATCTTCAATGACATCGTAGAAAATAGCCATCATGCATCTTTGAAAAGTTGCGGGTGCATTGCATAATCCAAATGGCATGCGTCTATATGCAAAAGTGCCGTAAGGGCATGTGAATGTCGTTTTCTCTTGGTCACTCGGATGGATAGGGATTTGGAAGAAACCGGAGTAACCATCGAGGAAACAAAAATAAGAATGCAGCGCAAGTCTCTCTAGCATTTGATCAATGAATGGTAGGGGGAAATGATCCTTATGGGTGTTTGTGTTAAGTTTTCGATAATCAATGCACATTCTCCATCCCGTAACCGTTCTGGTTGGTATGAGTTCATTGTTTTCATTAGGAACGACTGTGATTCCTCCCTTTTTTGGGACGACTTGCACCGGGCTAACCCAAGAGCTATCTGATATCGGGTAGATGATACCCACGTCTAACAATTTCAAAACTTCCTTCTTGACTACTTCTTTCATGTTCGGGTTTAGCCTACGTTGATGCTCTATCGATGATTTCGTGTCATCCTCTAAATGTATGCGATGCATGCAAAGACAGGGACTAAGACCCTTGATGTCTCTTAGAGTGTATCCTAGAACTTCCTTGTATTGCCTAAGCAACATGATGAGCTTTTCTACTTGATCCTCATCTAATGCATCATTAATGATGATGGGATAAGTAGAATTCAAGCCAAGAAAGACATACCTTAGCCCTTGGGGTAGGGGTTTCAATTCCACTTGTGGGGCATGTTTGGGGTCCCAATCAGCATGTGTATCTCCTCTCGGAACTTTGGGTGTGTCGAGGATGGCATGAGTAGTTGAGAAGAGGGCCTCGGAGTGCAAATCTTTCGTCCCAGGTGCAAATGGGCGGGCCGCCCAATCCGACGGGCGGTCGCTTGATTTGTCCGGGGAAGGATCGATTTTGCTCAGAATTATCAAGCAGGCCGCCTGATTTGGTGAGCGGTCGCTCGTTTTCGTTGAGGATTGGTCGAGATTACTCAGAACATTCGAGCGGGTCGCCTGAATTTCGAGGCGGTCGCTCGTTTGATCCGAAGATGAGTCGATTTTTCTCAGAGATTCCGAGCGGGTCGCCTGATTTGGTGAGCGGTCGCTCGTTTTCTTGAGCACAGATTCAAATTCCAGCGATTCTGGGCGGGCCGCCCGAAAATCTTAGCGGGCCGCCTGAAATATTGCAGAAACTTCATTTTCGGTTTCCCGATCATCTAGCGCCCGTCTTATCTCCTCGATCTCCTCCCAATTGCTATATAAACTTGCTTCTATGACCATTA